TCCTTTTTATTTTTTTTTTTAAATTTATTTTTTTATTTCCAAATCCCGCCTCTGGCCAAGTCAAAGCCGCGAGGAAAAGTGGAAGCGCTGGAGAAAGGGTTGGTTGTGTCCCCAGGCCATTGTGAGCTCTGCCGCGGGTGATTTTTACGCCCCCCGAGGAGGTTTTCGCCTTCTCACACAGTCAAGGTCACGCGTGACGGGCCCGGCGGGGCCGTGGGGTGGGTGAGGGTGGAAACAGCTCCGTCCAGCTCAGCGAGAACCTCTGGGCACAAAAATCCAACGTTTGCAGCACCCAGAGATCCCCCACCCCACAGAGGCTTCTTTTTGTTCTTCTTTTCACTTTTTTCCCCCTTTATTTTCCTCCTTTTTTCCTCTCTTTCCTTCCTTTTCTCTTTCTTTTCAGTTTAACTTCTTTTTTTTGTCTTCCCTCCTTCCTTTCTTCTTTCTTCTTCCTTTCTTCCTTTCTCTCTTCTTTTCCTTTTAATTTCTTTTCCCTTTTTCCTTTCTTTTTTTCTCTCCTTTTTCTTTTTCCTTTTTCCTTTCTTTTCCCTTTTTTCCCTTTTCTTTTCTTGTTCCTTTTTCTTTTTTTTTTTTAAATAAGAATTAATTTTCTTTGTCTGGAAGCCAACGTAAGTGAACACAATCATCCCGCAAAAAAAGCCAATTAGAAGCCAACCCCTTCTCCTCCTTCTCGCCCTGCAATATTTCACAACAAAAAGTCACCCAGAGCTGCTTCCAATATGTTGTGTATGAAACGCAGGGAGCAATAGGAAACAGGTCGGGTTGGTGTGTGTTTGTACGTCACACGGAAAGGGCTTTTGTAATTAGTCTGGGTGTCATTAACGCAGAGCCCAGAGCGAGTTTTCCCAGCCTATGAGGGCGGCTTTGTTGTGATGGACGTGCGAGGTTAGGAATTAAAAAAAAAAAAAAAAAGTGCGATGGAAAAGCCAAAAACGCGCGGTGGGAATTAAAAAGAAATAAATAAATAAATAAATAAATTTAAAAAAAAAAAAAAAAAAAAAGGAAAGAAAAACTTGTAAAAACTTTTACGCCCAACAAAGTTATAAAAACTCTTCATGCGTTAAGATATCAAAAGCTTTATAACAATAATAAAGCGTGCTCGCCGTGTGTGTGTTAAACCTGCCCCGAGATGCATTAAATGCTGCGCGGTTGAGTTAAATATTAAACGTCATAAACGCCACGCGGGGGTTCGAAATTAGAGGGTGGGGTGGGGTTTTTTGGTGGTTTTTTTCCAGGGAAAAAAATGTGGGGACCCCCCTCAAGACCGACCCCCCCCCCTTTCTCCGGCTCCCTGGGGGGCGGGGCGACCCTCTCTGATTCCCCTTTATTACAAAAAGGTTAAAGGTGATGGACTTGACTTTATTGAAGTTCAAAGACATCATATATTCACATTTTTCTTCCTGTGGGTCTCGCTCCCACCCCTGCATCCCTCGGCCCGCCCCGGGAAAGGAGGACAATTTTGAGGGGTTTTGGGTTGAGGGTGGGGTTTTTTTTGGCTTTTAAACGAGAGCAGGACCCTCCCCTCGCCCTCATCTCCTGTGTCACCTTCCTTGTAGGTGCTCGCTGGCGACACACGCGTGTCCCGACCCTTTTCTGCTCTCCCTCTCCCACGGTGTGGTACCCAAAGCATCTTCTCTGCCCCCTCCTTCCCCCCTCCCCGGTCCTCCCCCTTCTCCCCTCCCCAGAACATTAACAGCCCTTTTCCTACATGGCACTGCCGCTTAATGCCGCTGTAAACTCCCACATGGTCTATAAACTTGGATTTTACAACTGGCATTCCATTTTAGCTCGCGAAAACTTTGAACTAGGCCTACAGTTTCATTGTGCTGCAGTTGAACTGGAGCCTTGGAAAAGGAGAGGGGAAGGAGGGGAGAAAAAAAAGGAAGGAGGGGGGGAGAGAGAGAGAGAAGAGGAGAGAGAGAGAGGAAAAAAAAATTCCCTGGGCAAGACTCCCTTATTTGTTTACTATTTACTGCGGAAGTCTTTTCCTTTTAGCCAGACGGGGTAATTAAGAAAAATTAAGCTGTTTAGTGCTGCAGTCTTTATTACAACGTCTAGACGAGGCGCTTTTGTCCGGGCAGCCGCTGCTGTTACGGAGCATTAACTGCCCGCTTCTGACCTCCCGATATTCACCTTATTGCACCTCTCTTCGGTTTTCCTAACCTTGGGAAGGTTTGGGCAAACACTCATTAAAGAAAAGGTGCTTTTTCTCGGGGGGTTTTTCCGGGTGGTGTGGGTTTTGTTGTGGGTTTTTTTGGTTTTTTTTTTTTCTTTAATTTGGAGGAGAAGCCCCCTCCTCAGGCGGGTCTGGCAGCGCTGCTACATCTGCCGGGAAGATGGCTCCGATCTTCGTCTCGTCTTCATCTTTTACTTCTTTACCCGCAAAAAAAAAAAAAGGAGAGAGAAAAAAAAAATCCCCCTCCTTACGCCTGGTTTATTGAATATAAATCTCAGGCGAGGTTTTAGGCCCGGGACAAGCGCCCTTTCAGGCTCTCGGTTTTTTGCAAAAATAAATAGAAGAAAAATAAAGGAGTGGGGTTTTTTTTGCCATCCACCCAGGTTTTTTTATTTTATTTTTTTTTTCTTTTTCCCCCCTCCTTCCCTTTCCCGCTCTTTTAATGAGAAACATCCCTCTTAACATCCTTTCAAGATCATCTCGTGGCGTAACCGGGACGGGTCTATCACGAAAGCTTGAAGTGGGTTTGGATTTAATTGCTCGGGGGGAGTAAAAGGAGGGAGGGGTGGGGGGGGGTTTGCTCAGGGGTGTCGGGATGGGTGCGAACGAAGAGCGTTTTTGTGGGTTTATCAATTTATTTCCTCCCCCCCGACCGTCGTCAAATAAAATCAGAAGACACCACCAAAGGGTTTTGGGGTTTTTTTTTCTTTTTTTTTTTTTTTTTTCATTCGACGGGGTTCATCTTTAAAAGTGAGGATGAGAATTTTACAAGAACACGCTCAGAGGATGGGAATAAAACGTGTTGGTTTTTTGGCTCCTGGGGGGGGGGATTATCGCCACTTCCCCCCCCCCTCCTCACTCTCCTCCATTCCCACAATCTCATCAGAAAGCGGTAGAAAATCTACATTGGCGACCTCGAACGTCAAAACCCTCCCCACCAACACCCCCCTCCTCCCCTCCCCAAGAAAAAAACACCACCAAAATTGTCGTATTGACACCAAATTCATGCACCGGCATCACCGACGGCATCTTCGGCCTTCCTTTGTCCTCCCCGCGACTGTCGCGTCGCCTTCGGGCCACGGCGAGAAAAAGTCATTGTGGGAAAGAGGTGGGGGGAGAGAAAGGGGAGGAAAAAAAAAAAAAAAAATCACTTTCTGCCCCGCTCCTGGGAGTTGAACTTGTTTTCCTTAAGCTGGAATTTAAGGACTTGACTTTGCATTTGTGCTTCGTAGGGGTGGAAGGTATCCTTGACTTACGGGGAAACGCAGCTGGTGGAAAATTGGAGTTTCATTCATTTTTAATTTAGTTTTTTTATATTTTTTTTTAAAGGAGAGTGATAACTTGTTCTGGTGAAAACGCCAAAAAAAATTAGGAAAAAAAAAAAAGAGAGAGAGGGAAAAAAAAAAAAAAGGAAAAAAGAAAGATTAACTACAACCGGAAAACAGCGAAAGACATCTGGAGCCAAATTCAGAGGAGGATTACTGGGCCAAGAAAAATCCTATAAATTTCAGGTCGCTGCCGAATACAATGAACTCCCCACCACCAAACGTGGGCTCCAAGGTGGAGGTTTCGGATTAATCCCGGCCCTGTTAGAGCAGATTGCAGCGAGTCCCATGAATATGGATGATGATATTTCTGATATGCATTCAGGTATTTAAACTCCGATGGAAGAAACCCACACCACAATGACCGCAAAGAGGCTTTTAAGAGGGGAAATTCTAATAAAATGGTCAAATAAAATCATAATGTAGAACAGCTTGCAACGTCTTTATTTGCCACAGAATTTCACAGAGTGTCCCGGGGACTCACTTTACATACACAAAGGATTTTTTTTTATTTTTAATTATTATTCTTTCTCAGGAATTTTTTTTTGTATTATTATTTTTATGTTTCCCTCTCTTGTTCTTCGTCTCCCTTTTTTTTTTTTTTTTTTTTTTCTCTTATTTTTCCGGAAAAAGAACAAACAAACAAACAAAAAAAATCAAATAAAAAATAAAACCACTACGAAATTTATATACAAACCACTTCCGAGGCAGTGTGTTTTTTTGTTTTTTTTTTTTTGCTTGGATTTCCACCCCACTCCCCACTCCAAACGTAGAAACGAGACTGGAGAGAACACGTAAATTGATGTAGATGGATATACACGCACTCACTTCCGTATATCTGCGTGTATATACGTATTTTTTAGGTGGAGGAGGTGGAAATATCGACCCTTTTCAGGACGCTGATGAGCAGAGGGGGTGTGAATGTCCACACACACACACAGGGGAGGACACGCATGTCCATGTGTTCCTTCCCACACACTCACTCACACACTCACACTCACCCCAGATGAAGTGATTTGATCCTACAAGGGAGGCTTTGGCCGCTCTGGTGCTGACACAGCTGCAGACTGGAAATCACCGCGGTGGTAACACAGCACTGCCATTTATTCAAATAGGGACGGGGGTGCCTAAAGGATAATCACAATAAAAAAATAATAATATAATAATATAAAAAAAATAAACAAAAGGGGACGCGGGGGCGTGGGAGGGGAATCCCAAAACAACAACAAAAAAAAATAAAAGAAAATGGGGGAAAAAAACCAAATTAAATTAAACGTTCATGGAATTCAAGTCCTCGAAGCGGGAGCTGAAAGAAAATCTCTCTCCTTTTGTTACTCAGCACTGCCCCAGACATACAGATATGAAAAGGCTTAAACTTTTGAGGTCGCTTTGTCGACGCAAAAGGGCGAACCCGAGCTCGCAACTGTTCCTCCTCGCCACGCAGACACTTCACCAGCAGAGGGGATCTCCAAAGATGTTCACAACAAGGGATTTCCAGAGAAATACTGCAGGCGGTCTCTGCTTAATTTTTTTTCTTTCATCCTTCTGTTCTGAAACCAAATTTTAACCTGTCGGTCGGTGAGGTTTAACATCCTGGACAACTGGAGCCTCTTCTCTTTGTTTATGTAGACATTGAAGAAGAATTCCCTCTCTAGCTCTCTGATCTGGAATTTCGAGTAGGGGCACCTCTTCTTCCTCGTCCTGGGAGCACCTTAAAAGGACCAGAAGGCAGGGGTAAATATCCTGGAGGAAAACGCAGGACACGGGGGCAGCAGGGAGATTGGGAGCAGCTTAATAATTCCGATTATTAATGCAAGGGGGAGAGATCCTCAGCCTATTGTTAGGGGGGGTAGCAGAGGTGAGGTTGCACAGGGTCTTAAGGATCAGTGGGGTAATTATTTCCCCGCTGCTCAACGCAGACATTTTGGGTTTAGATCGGCTATTTTTAATTTTTTTTTAATTTTTTTTTAAATAAAACCCGGCCTGGGAGTGGAGGCAGGAGGTTGTTGGAGCAGAGTTTAGGGAGGTTGGAGTGGTGGTGGTGGTGGGAGTAAAAACAACCCACGCTCAGCTGCAAATCTGTTATCTGTATAGAAACAGCACGAGCAAGGTCGGAATTAGAGGAACTAGATATTGTGTTCCGCAGAAGTTTTTGATTAACTCCAGTCCTCGCCACACACGCAAAAAAAAAAAAAAAAGGAATCAAAGTCAAAGAGAACTTCGCATCTGAGCCGCAAAAGGGGGACTCGCATCACGAAAAGCAAACAGGGAAACAAAACAACCCTCCCCTCTTCCCAAAAGAGCCCCTCGCTGAACGCCAACTTGCAGAGTTGCCTGGATCCAGCCTTTAAAACAGCTCCAGGACTGCCTAGGAAATGCGAGTGCATGCAAATAATAATAGTAATAATAATAATAATAAAAAGAGATATCCCCAGCCCAGAAGACCCAAAGAAACCACCACGTAAGTAAAAGCCCTTCCTGACAAAAGCTCAACGCTCCACCGGGCTTGGAGGAGGAAAAAATCGCCACTTTAAAGAGAAAAGTCGAAAGAAACGCTCCGCTTTGCCTGCAGATTCGGCGGATTTCTCCCCTTTAGCGCCTCGCCTCCCCCGAGAGAGGAGGCTCGACATACAGTTTTAATTATATATTATTAAAAAAAAAAAAAAAGAAACACGACAAACCACCCAAAAAGCCGCCCCAAACATTTCGCATGCATCTTAGCGCCTGAAAGAAAGCCCAGGCAGCTAAAGTAGTGTTCTGCCCAATTGCCTTTTACCCTCAGCAACCCCGGGACCAAATCCTTTTAAAATGCCCGTGTAAGTTCATGATCAAAGTTAATATTTGTCACGACGGTGTGCTTTTAAAATTTCACAGACTCGGAGATACTGTGTCTGCGCCTAACATCTCCATTTTTTTTTTTTTTTCAAAGAGCTTTTCCCATCGTAAAAATTCTTCTCGTTGGAAGAAAGAGCTTTGTAGGTTATAATAAAATCCTTTGAATGCTTATAAAACTCCACATAAAATTTGACCGACAAAACACGCGGGCTAGTCCCTTAACCTTTTCCATTTACTGCTCTACCTACTCGAATTGCTGCTGCTTTTGCTCCCTTCCTTGGTGACAGAAGAGGACGAGGCTGAAGAAGAGCCCGGGTTCGTGTTTTCCTCCTCGTCTTCCGGGTCTAGCCCTTGCTCTCCGCGGGATGACAGCGCGTGGGGTTGCGACTCTGCCTCCACTTTGCCCTCGCCCTTCTGCAGGCAGGTCTCGGCCGGGTTTTCCGCCCCGCAATAGGCGTTCTCGAAGAAGCGGTCGAAACCCTGGGGCAGGACGGTGTTTTTGTTCATGCTGGTGTAGAATCCCGTCGACGCCGGGTGGTTGGAGCTGGGGTGGTGGTGGTGGTGGCTGTACACGCTCTCGTTTTTCATTAGCATTTCGGTCATGGTGGAAGGCGGGATGCACTCTCTATGCATCAGATCTTCCGCGGAATAACACGAGGCGTAATTGCTGCGGTGGTGCCATTTACTCGAGGGGTCTAGACCGTAGGAGACCTCTCGCACGGGCTGCACTTGCGAGAGGTTGGTGGAGTAAGGGTAGGAGATTTGGCGAGAGGGGGCCTGTGGCAAGAAAGATGACACAGTTGAAAATTCGGGGACGTAATAGGTACAGCTGGGGAGGTAGAGATTAGAAGCGCAACCTGCCCTCTCTCCAAACTCGGCGCTGCGCTCCTTCCGCGACTGGGAGCAGAAGTTGCCCAGGTTCACCGAGTTAAACATCTTTCTCCTTTTTTTCCCTCGCTCCTATAGCTCGAGATGTTTTGGATCCGAGGCGCGCAGGGGGAAAAAATTTGGGAAGGCGAGATGACGCGCGATCCGTCTTAGTCGCTCCGGAGGACACGTGATCCAAAGTAGATATTGTCATATATCAGTTTGGAGCACTTAGATGCGTAGGAGTGGTTCACTTAGGTAAGATCTCAGAGGTTCAAACGATTGGTTTGCAAACACCGCAGAAACATTATGAAAATCAATTGCAGATTTGTATTCATTTTCCTGAAGGCACACCCCTCCGAGCATCCACAGCTGAACAAGTACAAGGGCTGGCTTGGGAACTTGCTGCTTTTTTTTTTTTTCCCCCCTCCTCTCCCCTTGCTTGCTTTTTTTTTTTTTCTTCCTTGCCTTTTTTTTTTCCTTTTTTTTTTTTTTTTTTTTTAAGCCTTCCCTCCTCTCCTTCCTATTTGGATTGAGCTTCTCTCGCTTTCAGCAGGGTTTGGAGATGGGGTGGGGGCGATTTGGGTTGGGGAGGAGGGAGGGAGGGGGGAAAGGGAGAGGGAGAGGGAGGGTCTAAGGGAGCTCGAACAGTGTTTTTCCAGCCTTTTTTTTTTTTTTTTAATATTTTAATTACGCTGATTACTATAATTTATTATTCCGGCTATTTCCATCCTTAGACGTGCTCCTGGATAGGCTGTAGGTAGCTCAATCAAACCGCTGGAGGTGCAGAAGTAAGTTTTCCAACGTTTCCCAATAATCCGCAGCAATTCCGGGCTGCTGAATTCCAAGTCAGTCTTCCCTCCATCTCCCTATCTGGGAGCGAGGGGGCTGGCGCTAATTAACAAGCTTCTAACATACGCTAATTATGTTGATCTCAATGTGCACATCAACCCTCCATCACCGGCTTGACGTGCTTTATGGAGAATATTCCACTTAGGCAGTGACAGGGACCGCGTGAAGTTTCCAACTTTAAAGTTAAAGCAGGCCTGGCTTTAACGACTTTTGATATCGAATTAGTGATATATCAAGGAATAGAACAAATGAATTAAGTCGGTGTCTAATAAATATTCGAAACCCTCCTTTAATGTTTGGTTAAATATTTATTACGTAAGAGTGGCATATTGAATATTTAATGCAATTGTTTATTGTCAATCAATGGATGTACTTTCAGCAACGCTCTCATCATTTATTCTGCCAGCTGAATTAAAAAAGATATTCTTATTAAAGTCATTTATCTTCTATTCCGCGCCCCGGGAGCCTCCTCTTTCTCTGTCCTGCTGCCTTTTGATCCGAAAAAAAACCCCAAAACCCCAGAGATGCTCAAGAGGTTTTGAGAGTTTTGCAAAGAATTGTTCGGCAGCGAAGGAAAACGGGAGAACAAAAAGATTCCCTCCTGCAAAAGGTGCACCTGAACCGGGCTTATCCCACCGCCTTCAAACAGCCTCGAAGGGACAAAATTGCCCGCAACAATCGGGGGGTTTTCACCTGGATTAGGAATCCTGAGGTGGGAAACGTTTCCCTGCCGGGCAGAGGCGGCTGCTTTCATCTGCAGATGGAAATATTGCATCCTTTTCCTTCCCGGGAATTTCCCCCCCAGCCTTTATTCTCCATTTTAAAAGGGCGAGAGGAAAAAAAAAATTAAATAAAAATATTGATTTGGCCACTCGCAAACCCGAACTGGGATCTATTTGGTGGTGGGCTGAGTATTTCGAATAAAATTAAAGCACCGGGAGCGAGGGAGATGCTTTCGTGTGGGATTTTGTCAAATCGAGCCGCTGGAAATTCAAAGAACGAGAAAGGGAGGGGAAAAAAAAGGTAAATCTCAGCTTTGGAGCACTGAGAGCCAGGAGTAGAAAAAGCCTCGACGGCTACCGTGGGTTCGCTTTCCTCCCTGAGGAAAAAAATTAACAATAATAATAATAAGACGTGAACACACCCGAAAAATAACCAAATCACCAAAAAGGAGCGTCGGGGGGGTCCCAGCCCCGCTCGGGGATGTCCCTCTTGGGGTTGGGCATCCCTGGGCAGCTCCTCCGTCACTTCGCTGCTCTCCATCCAATTTTATTCAATTTACTCTCGCCCAACCTGCAGTTTGCTTTTGATCCAAGGGGGCTGCTGAATTCCCAAGAAATGGGGAGGAAAAGGCACCTCGAGGAACGGGGCAGAGGTTCCAACCTCCGCTAACAATAAAAAAATAGAAATATTCTGAAATTTTCTAGCAATGCAAGGGAAAGGGGAAGGGTGTGTGGGGGAAGGAAAGTTGATTTTCGTGTAAGAAAACGACCCCGCGAGTCCGAACCTTGCGGGCGAGCAGAGAGCGAGGGAATCCAGGATCCCCGAGCTGAAATCAAAGTGGGCATTTCAGCAGGGATTTCCAAGCCGGGGAGGGTGAACCCGGATTTGGGTGCGTTTATTGGGAATTCTTGAAGGCGAACATGGCGGCTTCCCACGCTCAGGTTGTTTGCTCTTCCTCACTTTTGAGCCTTCCTCACCCCCGGGGCGAAACAACGCGCTGCCGACCATTTATTCTCATTAATTTCTGCCTTTCCCACCCTTTCCCTTGGCTTGGTGTTTTCTGTTTAAAGAGCCGTTCTCATAAAACCCTTTTTATAAGGGATCGGGGCGTGTGAGTGTCTCTGAACGCGTCTGTGTGGCGAGAGGGAGATGAACGCACATATAAATATGTCCCTAATTGCGAAATGAGACGTGTTTTTTCCCCTCTCTAATGCACCGTTTAGCTGATGAATATATATAAAAATATATATAATAAATATAGAAAAATAGGGGCAAGAACTCCGGCCGCAGAGATGGATTTCTTCAGGTTTGTAATCCGCCTTTTTCTTTTATGGCTTGGACGTCGTTTTGGGCAAAACTTTTAATTAAAGTGTCAGCGATCCTTTCACTTGGCTTTTTATGGAGCGGTATTAATACTAACTACAAACTAATAATGTTAAGCGATTGTTTATGAGCGTAATTATTATTTTTTTTTTAAATCCCCCCCACCCCCAATTCCCTCCTGTTCGCAACCTGCACTGGAGCATCTTCTCCCCTCCGGCTCAAAGGGGAAAGGCTCTAAAATACACCTCTTTTTGTTGTGTTTATTCCAGTCCGGATTCCACTGAAGGTTTTAGGCACCAAGCTTTGCATCCAGAGGAGGAATTAGAGCGTGTTCTCTGATTAAAAAAAAAAAAAAAACAACAAACCAACACCAGGAGCAGACACCTTCAACCCAAAACAATGCGCCCAAAATACCCCCCAAAATAAAATTAAAACCACCCACCCGAGAGAGCGAACAACAACAAAAAAAAACCCCGTGTGGCACAAACCCCGCCGTCTCTCCTCGAGGTGCGTGGATAATTTATTGCCCTTCGTAGGTAAATACTTCGAAACCAAACCCCGGTGTCGGTTTGGGGGGTGAGGGGGTGGTTTTAAACCCGGTTTAAAGGGTGGGATTTGGGCTGTTTCCTGCGAGGAAGCAGAGAGGAGGCAGCTGTGGAGTCACAGCACTTGAATTTGACCACCAAAGTGACCACCATAAAACGGAATGAGGCCGGCGGCTGCATTCCTTTTGGTTGCCCTAAAAAAAAAAAAAAGGAGGAGAAGAAGGGGGGGAAAAGCTTAAAAAAAAGAGGACAAATAACTCTAAGGCATAACCTTAAAGCAACGTTTCAATCCCTTCCTTTTTTTATTTTTTTAAACCCCCTTCCCTCGGTTTCCTGGAGAATGGGAAAGGTTTGAGCTTGAAGGAGTAGGGGGGGAAAGAAAAATTAAGAGGAAAAGCTGCGTTTGTGTCCTTGAAAGGGAAAAAAAACATCCAGGGGAATCAGAGAAAGGGGAGGAAAGGGCTGATTTTGTTGGTTTTGAGGTGGCTTGGCGTTGAAGGTGAAGTTTCCCCATCTAGAAGGTGGGGGTTTTTTTCTCCTTTATTTGGTTATTTCTCAGACAGAGGGAAGAAGAGGAGAAAAGGAGGCGGCAGCCCCGAGCTCCCAAAGCCTGTTCTTCATTTATATACCGAAATACCCACTCTCAACCTGGCATCTCCACCGGAGGTTTCTCCCCAACCCAAATTGCCCCAGAAAAAAAAAAAAAAAAAAGAAAAAGCGAAGTGGAAGGCAAAAAAACCCCAAAATTTTCACCCCCCTTCCCCTCCCCTGCCCTTGCTCCGGAGTCCACACTGATTTGCCTGATAAAATGCGAACACTTAACACATTTAACAGCGTTTTCAGCAGGCAAATAGGCTCAAGGCTTGGGAGATGTGTTTTGTGTTACCACCAGGGATTTTTAAGGGGATGTTCGAGGCGTTTGGAGACCAAAAAAAAAAACCTAAAAAACATTGTAGGGATTGTACCGAAATCAAAAACTCGGAGGTGTGAAAGTTGGCTTTAGCTGAGCTGTGTAAACATCTGAAGTTATATTTTGATTTTAGGTTAATCCTGTACTTGAACTCTTCTCTATAAATCATTCCTATTTTCCTTTTTTTTTTTTTTTTTCTCATTCTTTCCTGCCATTGGGGAGAGAATATATGATTTTTTTTTTTCCCACCCATGAGCTGGGGGTTATCTGAACGCAAAATAAATTCGTTACCAACCTCCCAACTGCGGTCAAAAACTTTTTTTGTCGGCGTTGCCATAAAGGAGGCTTTGTTCCAGCTCGTACAGTAGGGGAAGCACTGACTGGAAGGGGGGAAAAAAAAGGAGAGGAAAAAAAAAAGGAAAAACCGCAATAAAAGGAGAAGGAAAAAAATAGAAAAGAATAGATTTGATACCAACCTGGCTTAGCACGTTACTCGTGGCTTGCTTACTGTGCCCTCAAGGCATCTCCTGCAGGATTTAGACCCTGAATCTTTCCCTATTTCAGCCACTCGGGTAGAACCGCCTTTACCTCTCGCTTTTGGGGGCCAAAACCGGGGATTTGGGGAGGGAGAAAAACCACAGTGGGTGCAAAAAAAAATTAAAAGAAGAGGAAAAAAAGCACTTTTTTAGCGGCCGCATCTCCCGGCAGCTGCGGGG